AAACTGTTCTCTTATACTCTATGCTTTTGCTATTGTCAATCTTAAATGGTCTTTAATAATAGATTGATTCTGTATTGCCTTATTAAGACTAAATAATTCTTACCATCCTATTTTTTACCCTCTTATTTCATGGAATTATCTTTAATGACAACTGTTTAAGCATTAGCTTGTTTTAATCATACTGTAACTTCTGGCTATGGTTAGCTTTGAGTGCAAATGAAATGTATAATTCTGTTTTCCATCACTTGTTGAGTCTGAAACCCAGTTAGAAATATTTATAGTATTATGGTTAATACTAAGGGAACCGTTATTAAATAATGATTTACTAGATATCAAATTGACTTGTACGTTCTCATGTAAGCGGAAATTGTTAAACTACAACATGGTTCCTAGTAAGAATATAAATTTTTTAAATGATTACTTCTACTCCATGGTGCAATTTATCTCTGCATTTGGATATGTTTATATAGAAAAAACACTTTCTAAGTCTATGTAAAATATCTCTAAACCTTTAAAAGAGACTTGGTCATTTAAAACCTGCTTCAAGGCTTGAGGTAAAATCTTAATTGCTTGGTCAATTTGTTTATGAATATTATTAAAAGGGTTTATTAAATTCTGAGCAGGGTTATAGTACAGTTTTCCTTAAGTGATTATTCTGGAGGTTGGGTGCCAGCTGATTCCCTTTACCTTGTGTTTACACCCCTTCTTTAATAGACCACTCTGAACTATAAGGTCTACCTGGGAACTTAAAGCATAATGTGTACATGGGTAATATTAACTAATTTTATTAAATAAGATGCTGCTGCACAGTACTCTTCTGAGTCAAAGAAATACCATCTTCATGACTTCAACTGTGCCTGCTTATAAAAGGTTATCATAATGGGGCTTGCTGACAGTTGTTATTCCTTCATTAAAGGAGGGATAACCTCACCTGAGTATCCAGCCATTCTTCCCAGCCAGCTGTATGTAATTCTGCCCTAACTGCAAATGGTCTCCTGAATTTGAAAAGGACTATAGTAGTAAAGATTTATATATATAAAGATTAAAATGACAGGATAGTTCCAGAATAGAAGGGATAATGAAATTCATTTTAAAAAAACTTATTAAAAGTTCTGAATAGGTTTACCGAAATACAGAGTTGTTAATTTTCAGTCCACTCTTGGCTTGTACTGCACAACGGGTTACAGATCTGGATTAAATGGGTACAGACAAGTATTGGGTTACCTATGACTACCGAAAGATGTCTTTTATGTTTCTCTGCGTCATGCAAATGTTACTTTTGGCACTTTCTTTTGCCCATAACAAGAATGATTTGGCTCAAAGAAAAACTAGATCTACTTCCTTGAACCAGATGTATGCAATCTAGAAGAAAACAGTTTCTGTGAAGCTTGGTGTGAATTCTGATTAGTTTATTTCCTGTCCATAGGTATGTGATATAATGCCTCCCTTCCTACTGAAAACTGTAAATCAGAATGTAGAAAACTAAAAGGAGACTGCTTCTGTTTGTAATAGAACAGCTTTCATTTGAGACAGACTTAAGAAATTCTTGTTTTTAAGGTGCCTTTCCTGGGCTGTGCCTAGTTAACCTGTGATGGTAAATCTCCTCCAGTCAATGTTTATTGAGAACATTTGGGTTTTGTTCAAGCTTTAGCTATACATTACCAGTAATTAAAGGTACCAGGCTGGTGCAACTGACCTTCTTGGATGATTAATAACCATACTTAAAGGCCCATACTAATCTGGACAAAGGGGCTTAAGGTAGTTTTGTTCCTTGCCCTAGAAGGTAACAGTGTCCCAGGGGATTATGGGAATCTCTTAATATGTCCTGTAACTGTGATGAGTCACCTGTCCTCTTGTTCAGGGAGGTCATGGAGACCCCACCAGAGGGACTCAAACCAGGGTCCAGTCTGCAAAGAGGAGGGTCAAGCGAAGCCCAGGTCGAGCAGGACCTCTTGACCTATCTTCACGTAGATGGAACTGGTAAAAGAAAAGCCTAAGGAGCCAGGGGCTCCCCCCAAGCCCATGTGACCCCTGAGGACCAGATCCTAAACCAACCTTAAAGTAAAAGTAAATTGGTTTATTTGAGCCAAAATCATGGTTTTAAACACCCAAAAGGAAAGTATAACCAAAAATTAATCAGTATATTTCTTTGAGTCCAAAGGATTGCATTTCCCAGACATCAGACTTAAGTCCAGGTAAAATATTATTTAGACAATTATTTCTCAGCAGTGATTTTGTTCTTAACAAGAAAAAGCTGCTCAGGTATAAGACTTCAAATCTTGGTCTCTGATACTGTAGTGCCCACCTGCAGCTACTACTGTTCTAAAATGATAGCTAAATTTATTTTCTCTCCCTCTCTAGCCACTCCAACAGCTACGAGTGCCTGAAAACAAATCCTGAGTTCATCATTCTTGAGTCCAGCCTTGGTGGTCAAAGGAAAAATGAGGAGGAACCCAATAGATGGGTGCCTTTAGAAGCCCTCATCAAAAAATTCCAATGAACTTTAATTTGGACATTTGAAATTTGCCCTGTTCTGACTTCTTCTGGTTCCCTGTCTAGAACTTGTAATACTAACTACTCTTGCCTTTACTTTTCCTTCACTTCCCCTAGGCACCAGTCAAGGACCTTCTTTTCTCCCTATACTTAAGAGTAATGCAATCTGGGAGTCTTTTAGATAGCCCCACTGAAGGGTGTCCCTGTTCAGCATGGAAGAAGCCAGTGTGGTCAGTGTCCCTATTCCCTATCGGCAATTTGGGTAACCTCTTCAGAGAGTGGCGTGATTAAAAATAGGAGGTAGAAATTGGCTAGGCAGTTAGGGTTAAAAACCCCAAAGAAAAGTAGCCAGTTTCTTTCTTGGCTAAAAGTCAAATTGTCCTTGGGCCTTTTAGCAATGTACTCTGTTCCAAAGGCCAAAAATGTTAAAAGTATTTGGGAGCTCTTATCCCTAAAAGATTTTATCTTTCACTTAAAACTTCACAATATCAACAATCACCCTAATATAGGATAGCTTCACTGGATTGTTACCATGGCTTCTACCCTTGCTGGGGCCTCTCCTTTCTATTGCTTTGATACTAACCATTGCTCCTTGCCTCTTCAGATATTTTCAGGGCCGATTCAACAACTAACTCATACTAATTTTAATCAGCAGTCACCTTCCTTCCCTCCACATGTTGACCATCAAGGACGGTCCCTGTTCGGATGCCTGAGGTGGAAACCCCTGCTGTCTGACTGATCCCTAATCCAGCCTCCCCCAGTCACCCATGCTCAGCAGGAAGTACCAAGACATCTTCGGTGCCCCCTATCCTATAGCACAAAAGTTGGAATGTTAGGGTTCTGATATACAGGTACACCCTCCCCAAAGTGACAGGGCCTCAGTTTTGCAAGCCCTCTGGCTGTTCTCTCCTGAAAAACCCTGGGCTCTCTTCACGGCCCTTTTGTAAAAAAATATATCCCCCCTACGCCCCTACCCTCCCAACCCCCGCCTTCCGCATTCCCCAACCCCCCTATAAAACCCCCCAGCCAACAGCATGTAAACTGACAGCCCCTCTATCCCAAAAGGGGAACTGTTTCTTGGGTTTTCCCCTGCCAATAAACAATCCAGCCAGAGTTCTTGTGGCTGTGTCCTGGTGCTTTCTCCGGATTTGGACCCCGATTTTACCTATCACTTACATCAGCCCCTTGACTATTAACATAAAAGTATGCCATTGAACAAGCTAGGACAATTAGAAATTCACTGGGTGCATGCCTATAATTCCAGAATTCCGAAGACGGAACAGAATTTCAAATAGGAATGAAAATATGGCTTTGTGGTAGAGTGCCTGCCTAGCACGATGGGAGGTCCTGGGTTCAATCCCCAGTACCACCAATAAACATAAATAAGAGTTAAATGATAAAGATCAATGGAGATTTTTGTAGCTCCAGAGACTGCACCTGGGGTTGTCAGGACAGGAGGCCTGGGGAAGTTGTCACTTTTCAGCTTAGGACTGAAATTACATGCCCCGCATGTTTGCTTTACCAAGAGGATTGACAGTTTGAACAGGTTGTGGTTATAATTCACATTATAATCACATAAGTGAAATTAAGCGAAATATTCCATAAAAGTTAAACCACTCCACTTACTAAACTTCTGCAAATCTGGTTTATAGTTGTTACTGGCATGTGTATGGTCAGATGCTCAATAAGTGTGAATCCAATTCCATGCTGGAAAGAATATGGCAAACAGGTCAAGGATAAACACGTGTATCAGACAGCGAAGGGACCAGACAGCATAGTCACAGAAGAGGCAGACGGCCAAGCCCCGGACCACTCGGTCTCCAGGTCTGGAGACGGCTGGAACTCCACGCTTGCGAGGCATGATCGTCGGCCCTGGGTTCTAAGCAGCGGGACAGCAGCCAAGGGATGGAACACCAGCCGCGTTGCCGCCCTGCGAACCGCGCCCCGCCCGCCGCGAGACGCCCGGGCCCAGAGCCCGGGGCCGGCGTCGGGGCCCCCAACCCGCCCCTCCCCTCCCCTCCCGCGGCGGCCGCGCCCGACGGCTCCAGACACGCCCGGCTCCGGCCCACCGCCTCCCCGCCGCGGCCACCAGGAGGCTCCGGCGCCTTCCCGCCTTTCCCGGGCCGAGGCGGGCTGCGGGGCGGGCAGCGACGGCAAGACCATTGTCCCGCGGCCATCCTCGGGCGCGCGGGAGCCGCTACCCGCGGCGGGAGGGTCGGGCCGTCCCAGACGCATCCCCCGGACCGTCCGCGCCTCCCCGGTGACTGTCGCCAACCCGCCTCTGCGCCCCGGGCTGCAAATGGCGCCCGCCGCCCCTGCGCCTCCCGCCGCGCCCGGACTGGGCTGTGTGCTGCGAAGCCCCGGGCAGCATCTCTAGCCCGCGTTCCTCCTGCATCCCACCGCATCCCGGCCCCCGCGCTGGGGGTCGTCGCCCTCCACCAGGCTCCCTCCCCGCCGCAGCCCCGACGCCCCGCCGCCCTCCGCCCGCCCGGCGCGCAGCCACTTACCGCGGGCCGCGGCGCCCCGGCAGCTTGCGCAGGCTGGGCGACGGTTCCCGGTTCCCGGTAGGGGAAGGACCCCCTTCCGAAGCCTAAGCCTTGCGCCCTAAAACAAGTAGCCCTAACGTGAGAGAAACAAAAGGTATTTGCTGACGTGGGCGTAGGGCAGAAACGCCCGAGGGCTGGGGATACAATTAAAGGGGCAACGCACTGATTTCAGGCACCAACCAGCAGCTTTGCCCACTCCCCCTGCCCGCGTCCACACCCGGCAGCACCCTCCCGGTCACTGGGGCGCCCAGATTCCCCAGCAGAGGCTGCGGCTAATTATTTAAGTCAAGAGCTTAAATCTTAAAAATTGTACTTTACGTTGGGAAAGGCGCCTCCGGAGGGCAGAAGGGCTGGATTTCTAGGATGTGGGGATATTGCAAACAGGGAGGGACTTAGGCGTGCCCACAATTACTGTATAAGTACATGTGACTTTATTGCACTTAAGTTCAGGAACGTCAAATGTAAGAGATTTCCACAGAATTTCTCCCCTTTTTCAAGCACGTACTTTTACTCAGGGATAACCTTTTAGAAACCTCTATAGGTCCTAAACATCCCATTTCAAGAGGAAAGCCCAGAGAGGCTTGTATAAGAGAAAATAATTCTTACATAATATAAAATTATTAAAAACAGAAGCTTTTGTGTTTTCAGATACAAAAATTTATTGTGCGTCAAGCTTCTCTTCTGACATGTCAAATACAGAATACAAAATCAGTTCTACATTTGCTAAAATAGTAATTGCTGAATTTTCACTCTACACAAGCAAACTAGTTTTTTAGTTCCTTATGCTGGTTGTCATACTGCATTATAGTAAAGGGAGAAAGACTCAATTTAAAAGCATACATTCAGTTTTCATGATGTATTATTTTTTGAATGATGTGCATATCTGAAGGGGTATGTGCACAGAACCAGAGGCATTGGATTCTCCAGAGCTGGAGTTACAGGGAGTTGTGAGCTGCCTGATGTGGGTACTGGGAGCTGAACTCTGGTCCTCTGTAAGAGTAGTATGTGTTCTTAACCACTGAGCCATCTCTCCAGTCCCCACATGTAATTTTTAATGGATTCCTTGCCTTAGTCTTTTTAAAATTATTTTAATTTTATGTGTATGAGTGTATTGCCTGCATACACATGTAAATGCACCCATCTTGTGCAGTCCCCAGGGAGGTCAGAAGAGGGTATTCGTTCTCCTGGAACTGGAGAAGGTCATTAGCCACCATGTGGGTGCTGGGAATTGAACCCCGGTCCTTCGAAAGAGCAGTCAATGTTCATAACTGCTGAGCCATCTCTTCAGCTCCCCCTCTCCTTAGTCTTAATCAGTCATGTTGGACAGGGTTTATTACTTTAGGTTCATCAATAATTAGCTATGCATTTGTTTTTTTTGTTTCTTTGGTTTGTTGTTTTTTGTTGTGTTTTTGGTCTTTTTGAGACAGGTTCTGCCTGTAGCCCCAGCTGGCCTGGAACTCACTATGTAGACCAGGCTGGCCTCGAACTCACAGAGATCTGCCTGCCTCTGCTTCCAAGTGCTGGTATTAAAGGCCTGTGCCACCACGCCCAACCTAGCTATGCATTTATAAGAGCATCCTCTGTGAGGATACAAAATATTCACTATCATCACTTAATGTCACAGCTGTATTAAGGCAAAGCTGATTTGCAATTTAGATGCATTTTCTCACATTTTGAAAGGTAGATGGAAACATGTGAAAGCCGTTAACTGTCGGCATTGTTGAAAATGCCTAAACTAGTCTAACACTTTCATTGAAGATTTCCTCTAGAAAGACCTAGACATTGTAATAATAAAAGTTTGTTTTTGTGCCAGGTGAGGTGGCACAGGACTTTAATCCTAGCACTTGGAGTGCAGAGGCAGACAGATATCTGAGATACAGGCTGGTCTGGTCTACGTAGCAAGTTCCAGGCAGCTGGGGCTACAGGGAAACCCCGTCTCAAAAAAAAAAGTTTGAGTGATAGGGCTTATAGAGTTTTGCTATATTCCCCAGGCTGCCCTGGAACTCCTGGGCTCAATCCATCCTCCTGCTTCAGCTGCCCTGAGAATAGAGGTGTGTGCCACTGAGTCTGGCACAAAGGTTTTATTTTGAGCCTTAGTGAATTAAAACATGCAAAAGAAGCTGGGTATGGTGGTGCACACCTTTAGTCCCCACACTTGAGAGGCAGACCTCACAGAGATTTAGGCCAGCCTGGTCTACATAGTGAGTTCCAGGCCAACAGTGACTACAGGGCAACCTTGTCTCAAAAAAAAAAAAAAAAAAAAACAACCCAAAAAACAAAACCCTAAAACAACATGCATGGTGTAATTCCAGCAACTGGCAAGGCTAAGGCTGGAATAGTACAAGTTCCAAACTATTCTGGGCTACCTCAAAAGCAAATAATAAATAAATCACACAAAAGAGTTCTATAAGCATGTTCCCCAAGAGAAGACATCAGGTGGTGATGAACTGCTTTGGGAGGAAGAAGTAACAGTATTTTGCCTTTGTGCTCCTGGCTTCAAGAGTTTATGCTGCTGGATACTGGGGCACTACCTCCTTTAATCAGAACTTATTCTTTCTAGCTGTTATGGATATATTTTTGTTTTTGTTTTTCTGATCTCTTCAGTTCAAATTCTTACAGAAGTGAATTCATTTCAATTTTAATAAGTAATTCAACACTTACTATGGGCAAAATGTTTGCTATGGACTCTCAAAATGCAATAGTGAACCCAAACTCTTGGCCCCTGCCTTCCTGGAACTTGCAGTCTACTGGGGGAGATCGATGTTGCTCTGATGAATAGATTATTCAAAAACTGGATAAACCTGAAGGAAAGATACATAGTATTATGAGACGAGAGATGAAGTGGGGACCACCTTAGGAGGGAATGAGCTTGTTTAGGAAAGTCTTTTTTTAAAAAAGATTTTTATTGCCAGGCATGGTAGCACACACCTTTAATCCCAGCACTGGGAGGCAGAGGCAGGCAGATCTCTGTAAGTGCAAAGACAGCCTGGTCTACATAGTGAGTTTCCAAGCCACCTGGGGCTACAGGGAGACCCTGTCTCAAAAAAAATAAAATAAATAAATAATTTTACTTTATAATTTTTATTTATGTATACTATATGTGAGTATATGCCCTGTGTGTGTGTGTGTGTGTGTGTGTGTGTGTGTGTGCCTATACAGGCTAGAAGAAGACTTTGGATTCCCTGGAGCTAGAGTTACAGGTCATTGTAAACTGCTCAGTGTCATTGCTGGGAACCAAGCTCAGGTCCTCAGAAAGAGCAGCAAGCACTCTTCACCACTGAGTCATCTTTCCAGCCCCCTTATTTTTATTTTATGTGTGCGTTTGTGCATGTTCATGTGTGTCTGCCGTGTGTATGTGGGTGCCTGCATAGACCTGAAGAGGGCATAGGATTCCCGAGGAACTGGAGTTACAGGTGGCTGTGAGCTGCATGATGTAGGTCCTAGGATCTGAATTCTCAGATCTCTGTAAGAGCAGCAAGTGCTCTTAACTGCAGAGCCATCTCTCTAGTCCATTTTTTTTTTTTTTTTTTTTTTTTTTTTTTTTAGGTATTTAATTTCTTATTTTATGTGTACGAATGTATTGCCTGCATGTATATAAGTACACCCGTGTCGTGCAATGCCCATTACCATGGCATGCCCTCAGAAGAGAGCATCAGATCCCCTGGAACTGGAGTTACAGTTGTTAGCTACCATGTGGGTGGCAAGAAGGAACTGAACCTGTATCCTCTCTGCAAGAGCAGCCAGTGCTCTTAACCACTGAGTCATCTCTCCAGTCCCAAAGGGAAGTCTTTCTTAAAGGAGTTATCTTGATTGGAGATCTGGAATTGGAATTTATTGATGAAGGTATTAGTGGTTGGGAACATTCCAGCTGGAAGGATCAAAATGCACAAAGGTTTTGCTTGAAAGGGGAATACCACAAAAAGTAAGACTGAGGCAGAGTGAAGGGGTGTACAAGGCCTTGAAGTGGGGAAGATGAGCAAGGGCCAGGGCATCATGGTTTTGTGGACCATGTCGAGAACTATGGAAGCCACTTCTATGTTTTAAGCTGGGTGGAGCTGTGTGGCATAATGAGGTAAGCATTTTGGGAAGATGACTATGGAGAAGTTGAAGGGAGGGAAGGGTGGATTACAGTCGTTCAGAAAGAGATGGTAGAATCTGTTTTTCTGTTTTGATTCTCTGAGACAGAGTCTTATCATGTAGCCCTGGCTGGCCTGGAACCCACTGTGTAGATTAGGTTGGCCTCTAATTCACAGAGATTCCCCTGTTTCTACCTCCTGAGTAGAGTACGAGGAGAGGAGATATGGGAGAAGTAGAGAGAGAAATACTAGAGATGAGAGGTGATTTGGGAGAATGAGGGAGAAAGGAGCGTCAGAGACAGCTTCCAACTTTCTTTGGCTGGTAGAACTAACTATAGCTGGATGTTGTGGTTCTTGCCTGTAATTCCCAGCACTTGAGAAGCTGAGACAGGAGGGTTACCATGAGTCCAAGGCCAGCCTAGGCTACAGAATATGACCCTATCTCAAAAAGGAGAAGAGGGGAGGGGAGGGAGAGGGGAGAAGTCTAGAAGAGGACCATTTTAAAAAATATATTATTTTAAAAAATATAGCCGGGCATGGTGCACACCTTTAATCCCAGCACTCGGGAGGCAGAGGCAGGCTGATCTCTGTGAGTTCAAGGCCAGCCTGGTCTACATAGCGAGTTCCAGGACAGCTGGGGCTACAGGGAGACCCTGTATCAAAGACCAAAATAAAAAATAATAATTTTTATTTTATGTGTATGTGTGTATTGCCTGCATGTAGGTAAGTGCACCTGGGTCATGAAAATGCCTGTGGAGGACAGAAGAGACTGTCGGATCCCATAAAACTGGAGTTATGGACAGTTGTTAGTTGCCATGTGGGTGCTGGGATTTGAACCTGGGTCTTCTGCAAGAACAGTCAGTGTTCTTATCTGCTGAGCCATCTCTCCAGCCCCAAAATATATTTATTATTTTTATTTTATGTGTATGAGTGTATTACCTGCACATATGTGAGTGCAATGCTGTGGAGATCAGAAGAAGGCTTCGGATTCTCCTGGAACTGGAGTTAAGAACAGTTCATAGCCACCATGTGGTTGCTGGGAATTGAACCCAAGTTCTCTGCAAGAGCAGTCAGTGCTCTTAATGGCTGAGCCATCTCCCCAGCCCCCATTCCTGTGTTTTTAAAAAATTTTTCATAAGCCGGGCACTTGGGAGGCAGAGGCAGGCGGATCTCTGTGAGTTAAAGGCCAGCCTGGTCTACATAGTGAGTTCCAGGGCAGCTGGGGCTACAGGGAGA